GGGATAAGTGTGTTCCTTCCTCCTCCTCCTCCCAGACTCTGGAACCCCAGCTTCGCAGCAGAGAGTCGGCCCTGCGGCCGCAGACCAGGGATGCTCAACGCGGGCTGGGCAGCAGCTTGCTCTGCCTGGGCTTCTGCGTGGAACTGCACTCCCAGAGCAGTGTATTCAAATCCTTCTATGCCCAGAGTGCGTTCCTGTGATAAGATCCCCACGATTTTCTGCTAAAGACAAATTATTTAACTAAGGCTACGGTTGTTTCTATCCGGTAGGTAAGTCCTGGGATGGCTCCGTGAACGATTCCTTCAGTGTTCACAGATCATCTCGGGGTAGGTGTGATGCTCTGCTCCCTCGGGGAGAGCGGTTCTCAGGCTGTGACCCGGGAGTGCCTTTCTCCAAGTACGTGGGTCAAGTTTCAAACAGCCGATGAGCGAAAGCCTCCTGGGAAGCACAGAGAAAGCCCGGCAGCTTTTTCTATGGAATATAGTGACTGATGCTGATTGATTTCTGTCAACTCATTCATTACCCAGCAGGGTACTTATTACATATTTTGGGGGGGCAGTTGGTGGCTGGCAGTTGGACTCAGGGCCCCACACTTCTGCCACTGAGCTACATTCCAGCCCCAGTTTTACCACTTTTAATAGTTCAAGCCTTAGGGTGTAATGATAGCAATGGTCAGGATGGGTCTTTTCATCAGTGGTCTTTGGACTCGTATGTAAAATGTCACCCTCCATTAGCAGGAAATGACTTCAACTGGGATGAACCCTCTGAGCTCAGTCTGTGGCTCCTCGCAGGAATATTTCGCTGAGAGCTGTTGCTGCTGTGTATTTCTGTCTGATCCTTTGTGGGGACACTCCCTTCCTTGGGGCTCAACTACAGTTTTATACCACACGGTTTGCCTGGAAAAGTGCAGAGCACCCTGTAAGTGCTCTACCTGCATGGCACAGAAATGTAAGCCCATACATTTTTTTGAAACTAGGAACTGTGCGTTGCTTTAAAAGATAATGATTTGTGGGAGCTGGGCTCATAATCATAGCCATGTGTCTGGATGGAGAACCTAAAAGTGACAGGACACAACAGGGTACCCTTGAAATCTGTCTTTCTTTGCTACACTCCATCAAAAATACACTGCAATAAAAGGATGGGGAAATGTAGAACCACATGCTTTTAGACTGCAACTGAACATGTTTAAGTAGAAATAAAACACCCATTGCATTCGTCAGCTTTCCTGTTGCTGGTACCCGATATCTGACACCCACAGTTTGAAGGAGGAAAGGTTCAATGTGGCTCACGGTTCCAAGGGGTTGAGTCCATGGTCAGCTGGCTCTCAGGCACGAACGTCCTGGTGGAAGGGAGCGGTGAAGCAAAGATGCTTAGTTCATGGTGGCTGGAAAACCAAGCAGGGGAGCCGTGCCAGAGAGGAGCAAGGACCAGGCATGAACGCTGAGGCCACACCTCCGTGTCTCACCCAGACACACTCAGGAAGCCTCCACCTTTCCCCAGGTGGGTCCCAAAGCCAATCAAGCTGATGCTCCATCCCCACCCCTACACTCTTTAATAATCGATAGCTATACTGTACTTCCAGGGGCTTGTCAGAAAGATTATCAGAGGTTATTAGAAAGAACTGCACATTTATACTGGACACAATATCAGGGAGGTAAGAAGTTCTTGCTGTTGCAAAGGCAGGCGTCAAACTACGTACAACCATTTCCGTTTCGCTGGGGAGATGCCACAGGCTGCAGCCCTGCCAGGAATGAGCTCAGGAATGGAGGCTGCTGTGCCATGCATCATCAGCCAGGTCTCAGGTTTGTTTAAAAACATCCTTTATATAGTAAAACCGGTGTCAAGCAATGTAATTTAAACACTCTTTCCACAAAACAGAGCAATTACATAGTGCCAGAGGTGTGCATTCCGGGATTCTTTCCCGTGGGATCTCGAAACTATGTGAAATGTTCGGAAGGTGTCACTCACCAAGCATCCCAAGACTTGGAGCCAGCCAGTGTCCCCACTTCTCTATTTGTCAGGACCCCAGGCGAGTGTGAGAAATCCCCATTCTTCAGCTGTGGCCTAGCTTTCTTGCTGGAAGAGAGAACCTGGTTCAGTGTTTGTAAAGAAAGAAACGCCGCCCTCTGGTGGACACTTCGGGGACTGCTTCCATCAGCACCAAGCAGAGCTCAGACCACTGCGGGCACCGGGGCACCTCTGGTCCAGGCATCTGGGGGACCCTGGGCACAGAACAGAATCCACATCGACCACTTGTTTTGATTACTCTCTCATTATGTGACACGTGCAAAATATACAATTTCCTGTAAATATGTGTTCATAAATTTTTTTCAGTACTAGGGATTGAACCTAGGGGCTTTGCACTGAGCTATGTAGCCCTTGCCCCTACTCTTCGACAAGTTCACACGTGTGTATAATTCTTTCCCAGCCATCACCCCCTCTTCCCCTCCGGTCCCCACGTCACATTTTCTTTGGTTTCGATGTATGCGATGTGTTTTGATGACACCATCCTCTGTCACCCTCTGCCTCCTGTCTGATTCGTCTCTCTTCCACCTTCCTGTCAGCCTTCTAGACTGCGCATGTTAAGGACAGCCAGGTGACACTTGTCCTTGAACTGGGCTGATTCTGCTCAAAGCGATCTCTAGAGCCATCCCATTTTTTTGTGCACGTGAAAAAATGTTGTCTTTTTATGGGTGCCTAATACTCCATTGTGTAAATATACATTTTCTTTATCCACTCATCTGGCGATGGGCACCTAAGCTGGTTGCATATCTTGCTCATCCGTTTTTATTTTTTGAGGCAGTAATTCACTAAGTTGCTAAGTTGCCTAGGCTGGGCTCAAACTTGGGATCTTCCTGTCTTAGCCTCCCAGAGTGCTGTAATGACAGGAATGTGCCACCGTGCCCAGCTCTATAAGCAATTTTTATTAGTGTTTGGATACGAACTAGGCTTACATTCTAAAAACATGTTCCTCACAGTAGCTGGTTTTAAGTTTTTAAAAAATATTTTAATTCCTGTAAACCATACATAATGTAAAATGCATCTTAGCCATTTCTAAGTGGACAGCTCAGCAGTATGGGCGTGATCACTGTCATGTGGCCGCGTCCTCCTTGCTTTCGTTGCTGAAACACAGTGCCCGACACCCATACCTTCAAGGTGGAGAGGTTTGTCCTGACTCACAGACTGTAGAAGTTTTAGCCAACAGTCGGGATCCAGGGCAGAAGGCCGCAGCGGAGGGCTGGCAGAAAGAGCTGCGCATGGCAGGTGCAGAGATCAGGAAGTAGAGCGCGAGGGCAGGAGGAGCCTGAGAGAGTGACACTCGCCCAGGCCACGCCCACAGCGACCGCAGCGCCCAACCAGCGAGTGGGCTCCCCTTCCGCACCCAGAATTCAATCACCGTGAAAGGCCCCACGTTGCAGCTCATGCGGCAGGGGCATCCGAATATAAACTCTAAGAAGCTGCCATCCCATCCCCATCCACCTCCCAAACTCTTTTAATCTTGCAAAACTAAAACCCTGCCCTTATGAAGTCCCCACTCCTCTAGGCCCTGATCCCCGGCTTTACTGTCCATCTCTGTACTCCGGGACTGTGCTAGATACCTCACCTTAAGTGAAACTGTATGGGTGTTAGTCCTTTCAGGCCTGGCTTAACTTACTCAGCACACTGTCCTCAAGTCTGTTCTGTGCTGTGGCATGATTTCCACTCTTTTGAAGGCTGTGTAATATTCCACTATACGTACAGACCACATTTAGCTTATTTAATTTCACCTGTAGCTGTAATTTGGGTTGCTTCCACCTTCTGGCTACTGTGGTGATTATCATGCTGCCATGAACATGGCTATAGAAGTGTCTTTTTGAAGCTGTGATTTTAGTTCTTTTAAGAATAAGCCCAGATGCTAGGTCTCTTGGGAATTCTAGTTTAAATTTCCAAGAAACTATCATAGTGCTTTCTACTGGAGCTGTTCTGGGTTCAGTTTCTCCACATCCTCACGAGACAAAGGAAACATTTTTGAAGATCATCATTCACGCAAAGGCAGCATTTTTAAACCATTTCATTTTATTGAGAGATGAAACATGTATAAATAACCATCAAAAAAAAAAAAAAAAACCTACAGAAAAAAATTCAGGCAGGCACGATGGTATCATACACCAGACTGCAGCATTTACAAAGTGAATTAATCTGGGGCACAAAGAGAGCACACAATGACCTTCCTGCTGGGAAATTATTTCCACACGTGTACGCCGTGCAGGGTTTCTGAACGTGGGGTATTTTTCAACAACAGACCCACATTCGAAGAATCTGAATTCAGGATGACTTTGAAATCTGGGGGTGTGAGAAGGTTTATCGAAAAAGTGCGAAACAAAGAAGGAAATTCTGGCTCTGTGGAGCCAGATCCTGGTTAACCTCAGGTGCCAAGGAGGCTGTGCCCCCAATACTTGTGGGCACACAGATAGATGGGCGGAAGGGAAGCCCTCCAGCATTACTGGGGGTCAGAAGGAGTGCAGACCCCTCTGAGTATGAGTTTTTATTATCAGATTTTTATGCTTCTTCCAGGCTGCCACTTATCTTAAAAATGTAAACAGGATACTTTTAGCAAAATAAGATGGTTACAGACAAATGGTAATAAGCAACAATGGAATGTAACCGGGGCAATTTCCTACCTGCCAAAAATATAATTAAAAGTGAATACAAGATCAAAGTTGAGCCTTGTTCCTGTATCACAGTAAAAACAGATAACTCATCACTTTGTAGTCTAATTTTTCACTTTTACTCAGTTTTTAAAATAGTACTAAAATCATTTGAATTTAGAACTAATTAAAAGCATTATGCTACTTTCAAATTTAATGGAAAATTCATTTGTAGGAAAAAGGATATAAATTAGGGTTTTTTTTTTTTTTCTGTCTTTTTGAGACAGAGTCTCTCTATGCAGTTCAGGCTGGCATTGGGCTCACTTTGTAGCCCAGGCTGGCTTTGAACTTGCAACAATCCTCCTGCTTCAGCCTCCTGAGTGCTGGGATTATAGGCGTGAGCCATCATACCCGGCTAGTTTTTTAATGTATAAAAACTGTAATATTAGAAATTTCTAGCCCCAAATGGGCAAACAGTCCTATATACTACTGTGAACTTGGGAAAAACTGTGACTATTGTCATGAACCGGTTTCAAAGATGCTACAATTTTTAACGTGTTTTAAGAATTACAGGCTAGAAAAACGAAGCCCTGTCACTTAACCATCATGTTGAAGATCATTTCGCAGGTCAGATCTTCTTCCAGGGATCCACTTCCGGCTGTGGCTTCTTCGTGGTCCATGGGAGCCGCTTCGCCCTGGAACTGCTCCTCCTCCACGGTGGCTTTTTGGGAAGAAGACACAACGGAAGCAAGTTTAGAAGAAAGTTAGAAAAAAATTGAGAAACTCTGAAGACATTGCAGTTCAATTAGGCTCACGGTTTCAAGGGGTTGAGTCCAGTGAGCGTGTCAGAAAAGAATATTCTAATGTTAATCATTCGCTCTGAGCCAGAGCATGTCAGCCTCCGCACTAGGGACAGCTGGAGCCAGGGAGTCCTCTCCGGGTACACTGTGGGCACTGCAGGATAAGAGCGGCTTCCCTGCCACGAGATGTCAGAAGCACCCTCCTCCTCAGCTGTGACAACCAAATCTGTCCCCAGACAGTGCCACCTATGGGTGATGGTAGCTCCCAGCCACAAAGCACTACTTGAGTGGAAGCAAATCTGCTGGACCCACGTCGTGGCTAAGCTGCTCACCCTGTCTTACTTCAGCACCTCCAGAGCCACAACGCTGAAAAAGAAAGAGCCAGACACTCTCAGGACACCTCTCCCCTCTGCCATCAACACAGACCGAGGACTTCCTCTGGGTCACGTGTCCTGCTAGGCACGCACGGACCCGGCCGCCCCCTGCTCAAAGGCCAGCAGCTTACAGTGCAGTCAGCACGATGGAAAGAGTTTAAAAACACATGCCGCACCCGCCTGTACCTGGTCCTCCACTCATTTTTCCAAATTACTTCCCGAGAACACTGCAGCCTCACACTCGAGGATACTGTTACCCAGGAGAGCTCGGCCGGAAGAAGAACTTCTGCCTGTGCTTTTCTGGAGCACGTGAAGCGGGCAGACCCAGTTCTCATGAGCGAACATCAACACTTCAATTCACAAACATGGTGCCCCGGCCGGCAGGAACTTGCACGGCTGTGTTAAAGGATGGATGCAAAGGGTAGAGGGAGGTGAAGTTCTGGATCCCTGGGGTCACCGAGACCGTGACAAGCAGATAAACTGTGCTTGCTGATGACATCGGCCAAGCTGTTGCTGAATTCGCACACGGCCTGGGACAAGACCATGTGAACGGGAGAAGGTTTCCGTAGGTCCACGCAGGAGCTTGCGCTTCCTTCCCCTTCTGCAATGTGACGGCTCAAAGCCAGCACACGCTGGGCACCCACCTGGCCTCAGTGATGTGTGCAGAGCAAGTCTAGGTAAGGGGAGGAGACGAGCATCAGGGCCGCTTTAAAACTGCCCTGGTGAACCTCGGCCTGGGTCCAGGGTGCGCCCCCGGCACTCAGCCCAACTCAGGACGAACGAGGAAGTGGCTCCTTCCCATAGTGCCCAGGACTTGGGAGCGGGTGGGGAGCGGTTCCTGTCCCCAGCCATCTCCACACCCAAAAATCACCGACTTCTGAAAGTTGTCCCAAATCCTTCCACAAGCCAGGGAAGGCTACTTTTAAGGTTTTACTCGATTAAAAAGAAAAAACCCAAGCAACTCCTGAAACAACACTGCATTTAGGTGCAGAGAAGGGAGAGACCTGGAAGTGTCCTTTAAGTCTCAGCTATGGGGCAGTGGCACACGTCCGTGAGACAGGACCTGCCCTGAACGCGAGAGCAGGGTCTAGGGACCCGGCCTCAAGCTCTCTGCTGTGATGGTCAAAGGACCGAGAGCTGGGTTTTACTCCGTCTTTCCCAGCAGAGGACTGAGTTTATTACTCACTCGCTTGTCCATCAAGTGACAAATCCACAAAGCTCACACCAGCGCCAGAAGCAGGGTACTGGGGGCTCTCTAAGGGCCAGGGGGCCTTATGGGACAGCACCGTCCGGGCAGGAGCCAGCGCCGAGTGAAAAGTCACATGAGAGAGGAGAGGGCAGTGCTGGGGTGCCGTGGCGGGGGGCAGAACCAAGACCTCCGGACCTGTGGGTGTGCAGGAGACCCCAGGTGAGGCTGGGGCGACCCAGCAGGGCTGAAGCCGGACAGGGAGAAGGGGTGGGGAGGGCAGACGGGTGGCGGGGGGGCCTCTCAGGGGCCTGGTCTTTGCAACACTGGGTGGCCGAGGAAGGGGATGCTGCTGGTGGCTGGAGGGCCTGGCTGTGGCATTTCAAAGATTTCTGTGTGGCTCTGGAGGCTGCCCAGGGTCAGGGTAGAGGGGGTGGGCACAGCCTGCAGGGGGGCTGACATGTCGGGGGCGGGGTGACAGGGCGCTCGGAGCCCAGGGCTGGGTGGGCCGAGATGGCGAGGGCACACAGCCCGGACCCAGCTGACGCCACGGAGGGGTGTGGGCGTGACTGCAGGCCCGCGCGGCGGGGGCACAGCCTAGGACCCCGGGGCACAGCGGAAGCCGACCACGGGGAGAGGCGCTGCGGCGGGTGACGGGGCTGAAGCGGGGAGGAGCAGGGGCAGCCACTGTGGCCGGGAGATGCCAGGACAGGCCGCGGCGGGTGGAGGGAAAGGTCAGCGGGTGTCGTGACCGGGAGCTCCGGGGACCCGGGGTGGCTGACTGGGGCAGAAAGTGGGAGGGAGAGGGAGGCGAGTTCAGGCTGAACCGAGGCCAGCACAGGACCCAGGAGGAGCGGATACCGAGTGAAGGGTCTATTACTCCCAGACTCGGAGTTCAAGCTGGCAGGAAAGCACAGGCGGAGGGGCCGAGCTGAGCTCTGGGAGAGGAGGAGGCGCTGCTGAGGAGGGAGGGGTCCGGGGCCAGCAGCTCTCCAGGGCCCTCCGGCCACAGGACATCCAAGGACCCTGCGGTTCTAGAGCCGAGTCAGAGCGAGGCTGGATGCGGCCCGACAGTGGGCAGCACGGAGCTGACGGAGGAGCCCGGGACCCCGGCAAGGATGGGGGACACCGGTGGGCTCCTCCACTGGGGTCCCTAGGCCCCCACCGCCGCTTGCTGGGAAGCAATGGCAGAAGCTGCGTTCACCCTGCGGGACTGGGGTGCGGGAGACCCTTGTTCCTCTCCACTCAGTTCGGTCCTTTTTACGAGGGCCACTGCACAGGGCTGCAGTCAGCGCAGAGGAGGGGGCATGGCAGCCCTTGGGGAATAACAAAGAGGGTGCTGTGGAAACCGGAAGTGGGCTCCACCCTGCCAAGTGCCCACGGAGCTGAGGAGGGTCCCCGACCAGGGACCCCTTAACGGGCCCCTCCCAGGCTCCCCGGCCAGGCGGGTCCTCGTGGGGCAGTGGGAGTGAGGTGAAGGGCCCGGAACAGCCGAAGATCAATGTCCTCAGAGGAGACACAGAGCACACAAGGAGCCACGTGGGGCAGAGGCAGAGAGCAGAGTGAGAAGTCCGCACCAAGGGGGCCGGCAGCCGCCAGAAGCCCAAGGGGCAGCTGCGCCAGGAGGGAACAGCCCCGCCGACCGTCGGTGTAGGAGCTGGGGAGGCGCACACTCTGCCGTTCTAAGCCAGGGACTCGCTGTGTGAACCCCGAGTAGGAGGGGCCGGGTGCCTCCGTCGCCCAGCCAGGTGAGCACAGCCCTCAAGGACCCACATGATGGGGCTGCACCCTGAGGCTACACTGACTTCCCCTTCCTCCCCACTGTGACCCCAAGAGGGCGCCGGGGAGCCACTCTGCCCTCTGGGCATCAAGCCTGAAGCTGCCAGAAGCAGCAAGGAGCTGTCTGCCCACCTGCTTCCAGGTGTGGCGCGCGGGTGCCTCACCGACCGGCGGACACACAGGGTTTCTGCGTGTCGCCTCACACCGACCTCAGTGCCCAGGAACACTTGCAACAAGAAAACCCTTGCTGAACAAATTGGTTTAAAATGAGGTACCGTCATCCTCTCCAGCTGCTCTGGAGGCTTCCTGCTTCCTCTTTCTCGTCCGTCTTCCTTTTCCCGAAGGAGACGATGTCCCTGGTGCCGAGTCACACTTCTTCAAGTGTCTGTGCACGGTGCTCTGGGGGGGAGAGGACACAGCACGCGTGATGAGTGACCGCTCCCCGGATGCGGCTACAGGCAGGCTTCCAAAAAGCAGCAGGTGACGTACACCTGCGAGGGTCTCGACAACAAAGACGACACTTTCAAGGTGACCCTTCCTAGCCGAAAGCTAGTTTTACTCTGAATAACAGAAATCCGTGAGAATACAACATTTGATTTTCTAGAGCGCTCCTATCTGCTAACGCGAAAACTGATGTTAAACCAGAAACTTGGGGTTTCAATCAATATTAGGGCTCTAAAAGGCCGTGCACATGGGACTGTCCTGCGAGCTCCTCTGCAGAGCGTCTGACTGTGGATGACACAGGTGGCCGCTTTTAAAACTGTACACGACACTCAGAATCAGGACACTTCCTGCTAGTGACATTGAGTCAAGCCTGCTAGGGACATCTTATTAACGGAAACTTATGATAACTTAGAATCAGCTAGAAAATTTTCACTATTTGAAAGTTCACGTGCAAAAGTGAAATCCCAGCAGTGTGTGTCTGAATATGCTGATTATACCCAGCAGCCCACTTAACTGCACTCTGACTTTAGCCCGTGCTTTGAGGACTGTCCTGGTTTGTGGGCGAACAGCAGGGCTGGCGGGGGGGTGCGGTGGGAGCTTACTGGTCACGTAACCGCCCATCTTGGCTACAGAGTTGGCAAATTACGGCCAGGGGAGCCCATCCAGCCTTTCCGCCTCCTGGCAGCACGGCCGACCCGTTTGTCTATGGCCGCTCTGGTGGACAAGGGCAGATGGAAGGTGTGGCGGGAGCTGTGTGTTCTAAGCCATGGACGGTGTTTGCTCTTGGGCCTTTTGCGGGAAGAGTTTGCTAACCCCTGGTTCACAAGACAGTGGCGTGAGCTAAGTGCTCTGGACAGCCAGGGCCTCCTCTGAGAATGTGAGAAAAGCCACGGTTCCTCCTCCTCCAGCGCAGCGCACAGATCAGCACACGACCTGCCTGTGGGGCCAGGATGCTGACAGCCACGCGGCGCTGACGTCACCTCTGCATCAACACAGGCACCCGCGAGCACGCCTGCACGCCACTCCAGCCTTCGAAAAATCCATACCCCGGGTAAACAAATGTGACACATCCCTGGGCCAAAAGAAACCTGGCTCCAGAGTGGAGGGGCCCCACCCCAAGTCCTGGTCAGGTCCCCCTGGGGAAGACAGGGTCTGGTTTGGTGCCACTCTGGTGCGAATACACGCTGTGGCCAGTACGTGTCAATGGACACACATCTGGCTAATTTACTTTCTAAAGATCAGGTTGGATGCAAGTGGATAGATAGGCTTTCTTTTATCTCTCAACAGCTCTGTGCAGATATAGTTCATATACTATGCGAGTCATCCATTTACAATGTGTGGTTTTTAGTTTATTCATAAGATCAGGCAGGCAATATCACAATGGACTTTAGAACATTTCACTCCCCCGCAAAGAACTCCATCCCCACTAGTAGCCAAGCCCCAACCTGTCACCGTGAATTTGCCTGTCCTGGGTATGTCACTAACAGATCATATGACGTGTGGCTTTCTGTGGTCCTTTTCAGGGCTGGGTACTATTCCACTGTAAGGACAGGCTCTGTGTTACCTAGCTATGCAAATGTCTAATGAACACTGCTATGAACACTGCTATGAACAAATGCTATGAACACTGCTATATTCGGTCTCCTGTGCTTGTGGGTGTCCAGTTCTCAGGGGCATACATCTAGGCGTGGCACTACGGGGTCTCATGGTGACTCCAAGGTTAAACCTTTTGAACCTGCCACTCCTCAAGACGGTGTCTCTATGTTAATCCTACCCACAGCAGTGAGGACCCCGGCCCCCCACCTTCAGCCTCCCGTGACTGCTGGTTGTCCCATGGCTCGGATGTGCACTGCTCCTGTGGCCCAGGCAGGAGGTCATCTTCTCCTGAACTTCTTGTTGTCTCTGCCTTCTTGGGACAAATGTCTCTGTAGGTATTTTTAATTGGGTTCTGCCTGTTTTTAACTGGGTAACTGTCTAATTATTCTTGAGCTGTAAGAGTTCTTTGCACATTCTAGATATGGGTCTGATATGCTTTATCATAAACAGTTAAGTTAGACCAAAGTCAACAGGCAGTCAGACAGGCCCAGGTGCCTCCAGGGAGTTGGCTCCAGAGATGAGAACACCTCACAGCTGCGGCTGGAGGTGCCTCTGAAGAAGGCCAAGCCCCGAGATTAAAGTTACAATGGCCAGACTTGCACATTTCCCTACAGGATGAGTGGAATTTGAGATTATATTGTAACTGGTACCACGTACTCCATTATATCCAGGTAAACATCAGTCACCCAGTTGGGTGAGCAGAGCATCTCGACTCATTCCTTTCTCCCAAATGCCTTTGTTTTTTCCCTGTATCCTTGCTACATGACCCGCTTCCCTACTGGATCAATATTAGCTAAATGGCCAACCTTCTAACCTTATTGGTTGATTGTAGTTTGACCCAAGTTGCTCCTGCCTCATGATTCTGTACCCACCCAGTGATTCTGCTCTATGAAACATTCTTAAGACACGACCTCAGTGGCAACCCACCTTCGGGTCCCCTCCTGCCTCTCAGGAGCTACCTCGGTCAATGACCTTTCCTACTCTTAACCTCCACTGTCCCTTAGAATTCAGTCTTCCACTTCGGGGAACACAAACTCGGAGCATCTGATGCGTAGCAGATTGGGAGTTACGTTTTCTCCTGTATCGGGCTTTCTTAAATGGAAGAAAAGTTTCAAGCCTGTATGTTCTGAGGGACAGTGCGGTGCTGGCTCAGCCTTCGCTTTCTTGCATCTTGTACCAAAGAGCAGTTTCTACTCGAGAACTCTACTCCTAGGGCGATACTAGCTTGACGCGGTGCCTCTGTACCACTGTCACCGCTTTTCTTTGAAATTTTGTGTGAACAGGGTTAATATTCCAGACTGCTTCTACACCGCCACCCAGAAAGACACAACTACCCTCATGTTTTTCTTTTAAGAAAAATGCTAACGTTTCCCCCGTAAAACCAAAGTTCAAAAGTTCTAAAACTGGGCTGGAGCACCTAGTGTCGAGGGTGGTTTTGAAATGTCCACAGACTCGCTGACACTCGTGCTTTCCAGAAGGACCTCATGCCCCCTCCTGAGCACATGCTGGCCTTGGGGTTCATCTCTAACTGATGGAGGCTGAACGTAAGGCTCGGCGGCAGAAGGCATGGGGGCCTCCTCCTGTCACTTGCTCTGAGCCTCGAGGACACGCAGACAGCCTGGTGCAGAGGGCCAGCGGCAGGGACAGAGTTGAGGAAATATTTGAAAATCACATTGCTTCTATAAGGAAGCCTAAATCTATGGGAACAAGCTGAAAATACTACACTTAGGAGCAAAGGTCCTTTAAGGAGTCTATGGACTCCCCAGAGCTACTGGCGAGATCTGGGGTGCACGTTGTCTGTCCTCTTTCAGGGGCGGGGAGATCACACATTCCTAAGTCTCTGAATTTGCTAATTCCAAAAACTAACAGGCCTGTCCCTAAGAGCAACAGGGGCATCTGAAGCCCCGGCCAGGCTCTCCCAGCCCACTCTGCCGCTCCTCTGGACGGGTCTGCGGCGGCAGAGGGGCGTCAGCGACTCACCCAGCTCGAGAAGCCCCGGCCGCACACGGGGCATTCGTGAACGGCTGGGCTGATATCCAAATCGTGGTGTTTCTTGACATGCGCGTCCAGAAGTGTCTTCTGCCGGAAGTGCTTGGGGCAGGCCGAGCAGGCAAAGGGCTTCTCTCCAGTGTGGGTGCGGACGTGGACGACCAGGTGCCGCTCCTGCGAGGGCAGGGAGGAGAACAGCTCGGCTGGTGAAGGATGTTTCTCAGCGTGAGATGTTATTTATTGTACGGTACTTTTTCCTAACCGAAGATGACTGCACTATTAAGCACAAGTACTGCAAATGCACTCCCAAAGGGCACCGTAAATCTCTCCCGAGTGGTGGGGACACGCCTGCACATGGTGCTGCAGTCAGGTTATGAAGTTCTCATAATTAATGAGACGCTGGCTCTCTCCTCCCTTGGGGGACGTCCTCTTGGGCGGGGGTGGGGTGGGTGTGACACGTGTCATACTAGCGTCTCAGATACAATCATTTGCAGTTCCCTGAGCTGGCCAAGGGCCGAGGGAACTTGCCAACTTAAAAATGGAATGGGCAGAATTTGCATTCAGTGGACAGGGAATCGAAATACTTTTCCTTATACTTTCTCACACAGTATACCGAGCTTAGGACTGCACTGGTAAGATACTGGTGAAAATGATTTTTCTTAGCAAAGAAACCACCCAAAATTTTAAAAGTAAGATTTAAATAACTTGGCAAATCAGGGCAACAATAGGTATAAAATCACCCAAGAACATACATAGGGTGTTTCAGTTAACATGCGGGGACCAGGCTAAGGAAACGCAGGTCACTTCTGCGGCACCATTGACAACGTAATTGATGGTCCTCCCTCCAAGCTTCCCTTCCAACTCCTGGAATAGGCACTCCCCTCTCACGGACGCATTCCCGTCCTCCTCCCTGTCCCCTCCCTGGTCCCCACTGGGACCACGACCTCGACCGCACGCTGCCTGCTCTCTGTCCTCCAAACAGTTCGAAGCCTCGGCAGAGTCCTCCCCAGATCTTTGCTACATTCGAGGAAGCTCTCAGTTTCACAGATCTGGCCCGGGGCCTCATCCTGCTGCTCCGGATCTCCCCAGAGCATCTCCACTCAGAGCGTTTGCTGCCTGCAGCCCCTCTGTGGAACACAGTGTGCTGAGGTCCCCACCTTCGGGGACCCGGGATGAAGGGATCACCAGAGCACACAGCGCTCCAGGACACCTCAGGGTCTCCCCTCTCAACTCCAGAGAGCGCCTGCTTACGTGGGCAACGTGTATTTGTATTTAATGTGCTAGAGGTGCAAACGGAGAAATCTAAAAACATTTTTAAAGTTAAAAAAGCGTTATCAATACTCTGTATTTACAAATAAGCCAAATGACATGTTAACAAAATTCTGAAAGATGTATTATCTATGTTTCAAAACAAACAACAAATCAAACGTCTCTCTTTAACAGTTCAAGTTGCCAGTTAAGGCATACGCTGCAGCAGTCGGGACACACATATATGCAAAGCTATTCATTACTTATCTGAAACTTAATTTAACTGCCCTGGGTTTATTTACTAAGTCTGACAACCCTATTACAAGATTCCAGGTGGAACCCTATCTCCGTTTCTACCCTCTTTCTGCACGGGGTACTGAAGTATCTGAGGAAAACCTGGACTCACAGACACGCAGTTCTAAAAGGAAACAGACTTTAATAGTTTTTTTCTTCCCAGATAATTATGGTCATCATTCTTTCTATTACCCCGAAACTCAACAGGTGGCAATTTCCTAAAATTTGGTTGCACTGTGGAATCTGAAACTAGGCCATTCAGCTTCCTGTTCTCCCTTATGTGAAAATCCATTTGTCTGTCTTGTACTTTGAGTGGATTTCCACTCAGGCACAGTTCCGTAATGCCATGGATTGGTCGTTTGGAAAATATCTTTCCTGGGCTGTGGAGGTTCTGTAAACACTGACACACTTCATTACATGGTATTAAAAGCCCCAATCTCATCAGAAATGTCATTAAGGATCAGAAAGCTAGAAGGCTCGGAACGGTGAATACAAATTTTCCAAAAGCCTGATTTTCTCTTGAAAAATGACAGTCTGTCATCCATCACTAGTAACACGTCTCCCTTGGAAGGACAGGGTTTCGTCGTTCACTGTCATGAAAGCGCCTGCCAGATGCCCCCAAACTGTGTGAGCAGGGCTGCTCTGCCCTGCCGTGGGGAGCCGCTGGCAGGGTGGGGAAGTGACTTTTCCTCCTGAGAGCCTGCGGGCTCTGGGGGCTCCTGTGGCACACACAGGGTGTTATGGCTTGTCTGTAGACGTCCCCTGCAAAACCTCCTGTGCTCACAGCTGAGGCTTCTGGGTGTGGAGTGACTGGATCACGGGCCTGTGACACTGGATGAGTTCACTGATGGGTGTGATGCTGGGAGGGGAAGCCTCGTGGAGAGAGGGCGTCGCTGTGGGCGTGGCCTGCAAGAGTATAGGTCCCTCCTCCTCCCTTGATCCCAGCCCTGCTTCCTGCCTGCATGCGCTGTCTCTCCTGGGCCAGGCCCCTGCCACGCCTTGGAGCCAGCCTGCTGTGGACTGAAACCTCTACCCACTGGGAGCCGGAATAAACCCTCCTCCTTTACTCCTTTACTCTGTGGGTGCTGGGTGTTTTGTCCCAGCAATGAGAAAGTAACTAAGACACAGAGTATTAAAAAGAAAGTATTTAAAAGGCTGAGACTTAAGAACACCAATGAGTTTCAGTGTTTGCCAAGAATGTTCTTAAAGGGACAGCCCTTGGTTTTGGGGCCAGCACACGAAGGTGAAGACTACAGCGGCCACCAGTCCTGCTGGGTGGGAGTCACTGCTTCTCTCCGTGCCCAGGCCACACCGCTGCCGACACCAAGTGCAAAAGTCAACACAGCCCGAAGGGCACAGGATGCCTTGGCATTATCACAGCAGTGGTTTGGGTGGTGTGCGGCCCGGACGGGTCCTGAGGACCTCAAGGGTCTGCACACGCTCTACCAGCTGCTGCCTCGGACGGCTGGCTGCTGGCTGAGCTGTGCATGCGGGTCCGGCGAAGCACGACCCCTCCAGGATTCCTCGAGGGCGCACAGCCCGCTGCCCTCCCCGCCTCCCGAGCCCCGGCGCGCCACCTCTGCCAGGGCACACACCTGCTTGCTGGCATAGCTGCAGTGCGGGCACTTGAACCGCTTCTCGTTCTTGTGGGTCTTCTGGTGCTGCACCAGCGCGTAGCGCTCATGGAAGGCGGCGGGGCAGTAGCGGCACCGTATCTCGGTGGCGTGGTACGTGTGCAGGTTTCGCACATGCACACCTGGAAAGGAGGGGGCAGCACAGGTGAGAAGACCACGTTTGCTACCAGGCAGGCCCCGAGCATGGCTCCCATCCTCCCGCTGGGGTCGGGAGGGTGGTCCTGTGTGCTGACGGATATTCAGAGGCAGCCCTGAACCTCTGCCCACAGGGCTCCAGCAGCACCCCTGCCAGGGTGACAGTCTAACGCCCCCCACCACTGGACCTCATTTTAAAAGTGTAAGGTTAAAGTCACACAAGGCCGGTCACATAGCCAAGCCCTCTGAGAAGCTGACCATGGGGAAGGCGGATTGTAGAACGATTCACAGAACAAAGATGCGTTTGAGCGAAGAAATGCCCGGATGTTCCTCTGGGAGCCAGGGCACTGTCCTCACAGCCCACTTGATCTGGGGCGGCCTAGAGCTGCATGATGGAGGGACACCTTGCGGTTCCTGCCCTGACATCTCAAGAGCACAGTCTTTCACGGTAAGAGGGAGGCGGACCAGGCACCCAACAGGGCCACTGCAGTGGCGTGGCAGGCTCATGTGATACGAACTATTACTCTGAGGCGCTGTCACACGTCTCACAGCCTTTCTGGGCAACTGGCTTGCGATCCCTGGTCCTACCACGTCCCGCCTGGCAGTGTTTTGTGGCCTGCTGGTAACCATGGCAACACGGACAGAACAAAAGACTTGTCAAGCACCTTTACCCTTTCACAAATAATTTCAAAACGATTTGCCTTGTCTCTGAAATAACTGGTGAGTGAGGGTTAACTGGTGAGCTTTAGTCTCTGTGAGTATATTTTAAGCACCACGATGTCATACATTTTTGGAAAGAAAGAAAAAAAGACCCCCCAAAGGGAGACCTAGGAGTCCGGAAACAAATCCTTCAGGTTCCCCGGCTCCCTCTTCTCTGCCCACATGAATCCTCTCCCGTCCTATGGTGGCCCCAAGTCACTGGGGCCCGCCTCAGGACCAAGACCTTATCTTCAGAGAGACCAGGTCTTGGTTCCTACTTGTACCCTCAGCCCCCAGCAGAGTGCGAGACGCCCTGGCCGAGATGCCAGTGCCCAGGGGGCATCAACCAAGTGGGAAGGCAAAACCCAGCAGCCTCCTAGCACCCAGTGGCGGGCCTCTCAGGCAAGTTGCTGCTTCTGAGCCCCAGCACCCTCATCTGTGAGAATGGGCCCAATATGCACCAAGATAATATCCTGAAAGTACTTTTGAACTCAAACGTCCATGAGATCTCACAGGTGTAGGGACCGGCCCAGGTCAGGACCAGCGGCGAGACTGCATTTATTGGGTATGGCCACCAGAGGGTGCCATAGGACCTCTGCAAGAAAACTCACTCTGGAGTTGCGGGGACCTGAAAGCAGCCAGCCTGCCAAGAGCGCCAACAGGGGAGCCGGGCAGAGCTGTGGAACCCGACACTCACGCAGGTCGCTCTTCCTTGCGATGAGGGTGTCACAGTGGGGACACTGGTACTTGGGCACGTTCTCGCTGTGCTTCTGAAGGATGTGCATCTTCATGGTCCCGCTCTGGGTGAACCGGGCGTGGCAGATGTGGCATTCATACGGCTTCTCACCTGCACACAAGCACGAAACGCCCTTCTTGAGCGTGGCCCCCCTCCGGCTCCGACACCTGCGGCGGGGAGCTTTGCTCCACCCAACCCCTTCCTTGGAGGCTTAGGGCCCCAACTGGCAGGGGGCACCCAAGTCTGGCCAGATAGCAGATGCCCTGCACTGCTGTGTGCAGCGACCCGCACACGCGGCCTCCCGGCCTCCTGACGCTCCTTGGTTCTGGCTGCGCACAGTTCCCACCCTAGGGGCCTGGGAGGGTCGGAGACGTGCATATGCACACGCGTCCTCTTTACACAACACAGCGGCAGCACACTTGTTACCGAACCGGCATATTTTGCTGCATGCTTGGCTTTATTTATTTATTTAGGTACCAGGAATCGAACTCAGGACCTCACACTTGCCAGGTGGGTGCAGCACCACTGAGCTAAATCCCTGGCCCCTCGGATTTAACCCTGGGGGATGAATTAAGAAGCGGACTTCTCAACGCCTAACACCCTACGGGAACTAGTACTTTACGGTGACCTGCTCGCCGCAATGGGCACAGCGCTGTGTTTACGTCATCCTGAGTGCTAGTGAAGAAAAAGTACAGAGCTAAGGCCCTGGGTCAAAAGGCACACGGGAACCGACACGCGTACTTTACTTCCGCCACACAAGAGCGACCTCCATGAGCTGGGACACTTTCGAAAGCACAGGGAGGACGGTACCCACCTGAGTGTGTGCGCATGTGGCGCTTGAGCTTGTAGGTGTCCTTGCTAGCGTAGCTGCAGAGCAGGCACTGGAAGGGACGCTCGCCCGTGTGTGAGCGGACGTGACGCTTCAACTTGCTGGCCTGGGACAGACAAAGGGGACAGTTACGCCAGCAGGAACTTCAAAGCAGGGGGCCCGCAAGAGTTAGCTTCACGGAAGAGCCTTAAGTTAATCAGGTTCTGACACTGGGGCATGCACCCTTGCTGAAAAACATGAGAACGTCGTGACTGTTGGTAGTCTGTGTGGGTGACTGTTCCGCATTTGATAGGCACAAGCTCTTCTGGGGGAGAGAAAGTGCAGTGTGGAGAGATTGCGGCATTCTGCTTCGCTGTGTAAAGGAAAGACGGAAATCTCGCTGTCCAAGGCCACATGGCTTCATATTCATGTCCAAGGCCACACACGCCGAGCGAGATCACAAAGTCCAGGAGGACTGTTTTCCCGTCAAGGGAGAACCTCAAGCCAGGAGATGTGCAGTGCGTGCGCTTCACCGTCACAAGCCCCGCGGGCCCCGGGCCCCAAGGGTGTGCGGGTGGCACGGGCTGTCCTTGATGTGAGCTCCTACGCTGCATGTCCGGGCTTTCTTTAGAAGAACTAAGTTTTAAGTAGGAGAAAATAATTCTGATTTGATTAATTACCCACCCCAGGCAATTAGTTAAATAGCAAACGCCTTCTGCAAACACGCCGTAGCTGCTCGCTGTGAGCCCTTATCTGTGTGTAGCCGGAAACCCACGGTGGCCTCCACTTGGGGGCCGCAGGTGTCCAGAAGCCCCAGTAGTTCTGCCGCGATCTAGGAGAGACCACGCTCAGTCTGCTTGCCCAGCGTCAAACACCAGGCACCGATCCGAAGACCATTCAAGACCGGAAGCCTCAGAATGGAAAGCGAGATCCAGATTTTTAGAAGAAAAGCAAATGCCTTTGAGTGTTTTAGGAAGTAAAGCAACAAGCATTTTAAATGACAGCATAGAAGGTGTGAGCAGGACAGGTGGCCTGACTGGTCTTAGAACGCTGAGAATAGTGTCTCTGGAGAGGAGACAAGGAGCTCCAAGCGCTCAGAAACTGGGTGTGTCTGACAGATTCCAGGCAAGGTCTGGTGCCAGGCAGGATCAGTACGCCCGGTCTTAACGCAGAGTAGCAGGCACAGTGCAGAAGCTGTGCCGATGCAGGGAGACACAAGTGGCGGGGACCTGGGGCCCAGCTCACCGACCTAGGCTGCACCGGGCTACACACAAGAGGTCTGCTCCTGGCTCGGGGTCCTGGGACACCTTTGTTCTCTAAAGCTGCCGCCTCGTGTCCTTGGGCTACCAAAACAACCTTTAACTTAGAGGAGAGACAGACTCTTAAATATAGCAATCGCAGGGAAAAAAAACCCTCTTGGAATCAAATTGTGACCCTGTGTGTGAAATTCCCTGCTTTATGAAATGTGGTTGCGGCATTGCTATATTTAAACCTCAGTCGCTGTGCCCTTTACCTCAGTCCCATTGGAGGGCAGCGGCTGTCCCTCCCCAACTGGGCTCACACCCAGGACCGAGCTTTTCTCTTAACACCAAGCAGAGCCCCTCAAACTGCGCCAGCGCTGCAAAGTAAACATCAGAGGCTGCCTTTGATTTACGCAGGGCACCGCTGGACCTGTTAGGAGGCACAAGGCGGGCAGCCAAGCAGAAATGGCCATGGCGCAGAACTGAAGTCTGCGAAGAGTCATCTCTCTAAGTTAAGGGTAGAAATGGGGAGCTGGGGATGTGGCACAGCGGCACGGCGATTGTCTAGCAAGTCCCTGGGTTTGATCCCCAGCACTGGAAAAAAAAAAAAGGCCTGAAATGGCTATCAGGATGCTTTGTATCTGACCAAGTGCTACTGAGACAGGCTCAGAATTTCTGGCAAAAGTTCCTACCTGATCTGTGTCCCACATTTGAGAAGATCCATTTTGACTCTGTGGCGCTGAGCACGACAGAAATACCATACAGACTCTTACGGCTGTGTCTACATGTCCCCCCAAAGCCTCACTCGGCCATAGGTGGGGCTTTCTCAGAGGTGGCTGGACCTACAGTGTGTGACTCATTCCTGGTGCAATGCCGAGATGAAGGGTGTGTGATTACTAAATCAGTCCGCTGATTGGATTGGCACCACCCTAATCTTAGTGCCCTGGATACAATACGAGGGACAGGAAGAGGCTTGTCTTGTCCCTTGCTTGCTTTTGCTGTCTTCTGCCTCCCATGAACCGTTTCTCCTCTGCAATGCCCCTCTGCCATGCCACCTGCCTTGAGGCCAGCCACCTATGGACTGAAACCTCTACAAACTGTGAGCCGAATAACCTTTCCCTCCCTTAACCTGGGGATGCTGACTATTTTGTCTCAGCAACGAGAAAAAGTGACGAAGATATAGACCTTCTCAGCAAATCCTAGAAGTACTTCTCGACCACAAGTAATTGGATTTGTAATACGTACATCTTTAAAAATTATTTTCACTAAGTCATCAAAGGAAGAAAAGGAATCTAGTTTTCTATTTGCAATTTAGAAGCAAAACCTGTTTGACAGAGCGCTCTCCTGGCAGTGCAGCCCTGACAGCGAAGTCTTACGCGGCTGTCAGGACCTCCGGGGTGCAGAGGACTTACTTCCACGCTCGCATACGCGCACATGGAGCACTTGAACGGCTTCTCGTGAGTGTGTTTGTAGCGCCTGTGCCGGACAAGCTCTCCACTGGTGACAAACGCCATGTCGCAGTCCGCACACTTATGAGGCCTGGTTCCTGTAAAATCACATGATAAATACATATACACACACACACACACACACATATATATATATATTTTTTTAGTGGTGCTGGAGATAAAACTCAAGACCTCACCAGTGCAAGTTCTATACCATCTACCTATATTCCCCAGCCTAATTTATACTTTTAAGACAAGATTTAACCATGTCCAAGGATTTTATACCTTTTCATTTATACCCAGTCTCCAAATACTTTAAAACTAACAGGCTCGGCCTGGGATGTAGCTCAGTGTCCCAAGCACCTGCCTGGTAAGTGCAAGGTCCTGAGTTCGATTCCCAGTACCAATAAAATAAAATAAAATAAAACAAAATAAAGAGGCTCATTAAACCATAAGTACCACGAACATATGTGAGACCCAGAACATTCAATGCTTTTAACTGAAATTCCAGAAATAAAAGGAAAAATTAGAAGTGGAAACAATACATGATTGTTAGTCATCACCATTCCTGTTGGAGGATCAGACCCACGGTGCCACGTGAGAGCCTATGTGGGCTGTGCTTTTCACCATGCTGAAGTTTAATCTATAAATTAGAGATTAAACAACAGCGACAACCGACAGTCACTGTTGGGATTGACAAAAATTAAGAGATTAACAAAAACTAGAAATAGAACAGTACTAACGATGCATTACAATGCAAGTTATCTAAAACTTTAAGAGTAGATCATCTCTGGAATTTCCCATGTAATCTTTGCCAACTGCGTAAACACAGGTGACTGAAGCCTGCAAAGCAAAGCTTCGGATGGGACGCGGGGCTGTGTTTAATGCAGAAGCAGCGGACTCACTCATCACGCAGCCCGACCCTGCACTCCAGGGAAACTGCCCCAGGCCAGCTCACCCGTGTGGGTGTTGATGTGGTTCCGCAGGAGGGTGACGGTGCGGAAAGTCCTGAGGCACAGGTGGCACATATGGGGCTTCTCGCTGGTGTGGATTCTCATGTGGCGATTCAAGCTGGAGATTCTCGAAGAGGTGAACATGCAGATGTCGCAGCGGTAGGTTTGTTTCGTTCCTACAGGAAGAAGACACAGAATTTGTAAGAGTAAAAAAATCATCCTTTCACTGTTCAAGTTCTATTTCAACACTGGAGAGTAACTTGGACCCTTTCAGGGCACAGTGTGGAATCTCGGCAGGACACCGCTGCGTCGACAAGCCGCTCGAACACTTCAGGACGTGGTGCCCCCGGGTGAAGGGTACAAGCCGAGTGGAGTAGGTACTGGGCTCATTCTTTCTGCAGAGAAGAACGCATCCTCCACCCAGCCAGGAGATCACAACAGTGCTGTCCAAACCCAGAGCCAGGGCTGGGGTGGGGCTCGGCGTCAGAACACCGCCTAGCATGCTCAAAGCCCCCGCTTTGATTTCCATCATTTGGGGAAAAAAGTTCTTGATAGCCATATGTGACTATCTAAATTTGGGTCTGAAATAATTAACATTTTTTGTAAAAAATTAAAAATACTGTTTCTTTGTTGTAAGCTACGGTTCCACTGCCCCAAAGCCACCTATGGCTAGGAGTTAGTGTTCTAGGCAGTGTGAATACTAACATTTCCTCACCGCAGGAGAGTCTGTGGAACAGTGCCAGGCCAGCATGTGCAGAGGTGAAAACATCTCCCTCAGGCCGACGGCTGCATTTTTTTTTTTTTTTTTTTTTTTTTCTCCGGTACCGGGAACCGAACTCACGACCTTGCGCTTGCCAGGCAGGCGCTTTGCCGCTGAGCTAAATCCCCAGCCCCTCTACAGGGTCTCTGGTCAAGGTAGGTTTTGACCATTACTGATTGGCGGAAATTAATATTCTTCATCCCTCACAGAACTCCACGCTTTACCCCATGCTTCAAAGAACCTCCACAGATACCACTAAAAATGAGCTCTGGGTGAACAAGCAAGTTGTTAAGGCAAGAACCAGCAAAAAAAAAAAAAAAGAGAAAAAAAATCCAAAAACTCAGAACCACAAACTTCAGATGTCAGAATTATTAAGCGCAGAATATAGCTGTGCTGTTAGTCAAAATAGTAGAGTAAGAAACTCCAAAAAGCCATCCCTCTATAAGAGCAATGAAAAGACCGGGAAAAACTGTCAGAATCAATTTTGGGGGGAGCACTGGAAACTAATCAAAAGCTTGCAGGAACCAGAGGAGCACTTAAAAATGTCTGGCTGATTCTCAGTAAATAAAGAGCTCGATGGAGTTTTAATGTGTTCTGGCTCAATTCCCCATTCCCCAGCTCAGTGCTTTCCTTGAAAGTAGCAGTTCAAATGCACAGTACCAGCACCGGAGAGAACGGAATGGAGCAAAACTCATTCACAAAAATTACAATTACGTTCTGTGACCTGAGAGGGGGCTCACTGCAAGGCCAATTCAAAGACTTCACCTTTATCTACCTTGCCTGGCATTCACCCAGTGCAAAAAAGGCTACCTGGGGTGAAGGGGAGGATGTTTTTTGGAAAGCATTTCTAAGCAATGGTTAATAAGAGAACAGACAACAGAAAGCTTTGAAGGAAAGGCTGAGGAGTAGGGTACATGTTTTACCATGTTCTAACACACTCCTAGGAATACAGAAGGCCACACACAGACCCAGGGCTTATGCACCACGTTCAAAAGCTTTATGTGCTCAATTCTGGCTGACTTTGAGGCTCCCAGGAAGCAGGAAGTGAAGGCTAAGGCAGAGCCGTCAACTGCCTGAGCGAGCACTGGGAAGGCCAGGCCCTGACAAATATACAGAGCTCCTCAGCAAGTGTTGAAGAGACTTTTTGGGTTTCAGGTGTTGAGGCATATCTTTGTCCAATCACTAGCAGGGATTTCAGTGGCTATGCAAAGCGATGAATACAGACTTTACAAAGTTAGTTCAGAAAAGTTACCAACCAAACAACAAATACAATACATAGCAAGAAACAAATGAGGGGAGAAGAAGAATCTGATTTACAGTCACTTGAGTACCAGGTTTCAAGCGTCCATTTTTCAGTCAAAAGAAAAGTTGCAAGACGTGTCCAGAAACAAGAAAATATGATGACCCACACATGAAAGAAAATACAAAGAAACTGTACCTGAGAAGTCCAGGAACTGGATGTATATACCAAAGATTTTGAATGAAGAATCTTAAGTATGTCCAAAGGCCCAAGTAAATTATATGTAAAGAACCTTGGAAATGATGCTTTACCATTTAAAAATAGAAATTCTGGAATCAAAAAGTGCAGTAAGTGAAATTAAAAATTCACAAAAGGGTTCAGTGGAGAGCTATCAGAAAGAATGAAGAATCAGTCAATTTGAAGATAGAGCAATGAAGACCATTTAGTTTGAAGAATGGAAAGAAAAAAGGATGGAGGAAAAGAAGCACAGCCAGAAATGCCAGTTCAGCATCACTAAGCATACAGTATGTGTACAATGAGAGTCCCAGAAGGGGAGTGTGGGGAAGGAGTGTGTCTGGAGAGATAACTGCCCAAATAATGCTTAATATAATGAAAAAATCATCTGCACATCCAAAAGCTTAATAAATTACAAATAGGGTTTACAGAGACCCACATTAAAACACAAAGTCAAACCACCAAGTGTCAGAGAGGGAATCCTGAGAGCAGCAGAAGGAAGAGACCCATCATACACACAGGAGACTCTGTAAGACTGAAGGCTGAATTATCCCAGAAAACCAAAGAGGCCAGCAGGCAGCGCAATGACACATTCAAAATCCTGAAAGGAAAAAGTCTGTTAAGTGAGAACCCTATGTTAGGCAAAACTGTCCTTTGAAAATGAAAGATAAATTAAGACATTCAAAGAGAAATAAAAACTGAACAGCCTACCCTTGGGAGACTTGTGCTATGAAAAATACTAAAGAGATTCATATAGATTAAAATTAAGGGGCACTAGTTAGTAACTCAAATCCACACAAAAAGATAAAGAATGATAAAGGTAACTACATGGGTAAATATAAAGGGCAGAATTCATAAATTTACCTATAAATCATTTTTCCTATTTAATTTAAAAGATAACAGCGTAAGATAATACTTACACATTTATGCTGAAGGGGACAGAATGTATAAAGATTACTCTGTGACAGTAACAACAGAAAGGGGGTGAGAATGAAATTATATAGGAGCCAAAATTTTAAAATATAACAAATTGGCGTTAATCTAAACTAGTAGGTTACACACTGAGATGTTAGATACAATTCTAAGGGCAGCCAAACATATAACTCAGAAACATATATTTAAATAAACACCACACTAGAGAAAAGTTATGGGTGAAATAAAGTAATAACGGAAGAACTGAGGAATAAAAATAGCATGACACTTAAAAAATAAAAACAAGGAAATAAATCCTTCCTTATCAGAAGTAGATTAAACTCTACAATTAAAAGGCAGAGAGAGATTTTCAGAAAAGACAAAAAACATGATCTACCTATCTGCTTTCTACACGACCTACTTTAGATTCACAGACACAAATGGGAGGAAAGTACGTAGATGTGAAGAATAACCAAAGACAGGCTTCAGAATGGTACCTTGGTTCATGAACTTCCTTCTTTCCACAATTCTTGTTGCAAATCAAATTGGATGAGAACTGAATCAAATCTCCCCAGTTCTTGTCCAGTTTGGTTTGGGACCAGAATCGTGGAATGAATGAAGTTCGTGACCTGAGGCACGCTGTACTAGTGTCAAGACAGATACAGACTTCAAGACAAAAGCTGTTATAAGGGACAAAAAGGATACTGTATGATGACAAGAAGGTCCATCTATCATAACTAAGATGATTATAAACATATATGCACTTAATAACACAGTTCCAAAATACCTAAAGCAAAAACTGACACAACTGAAGATGCAAACAGGTAAGTCAATAATGGAGACTTCGATACTGCACTTTAAACATTTCCAACAACTAGACAGAAAATCAGCAAGGAAACAGAAAACTTCAACAATACCACAAGCCAAGGAGATATAATAGCTATCTAAAGAACACCCCCCGCCCAACAACAGAACATGCTTCACAGATGCATATGGAAGATTCTGTGGGACAGAACATACGTTAGGTCGCAAAACAAGTCTCAGTGCATCAAAACAAAACAAAACAAAACAAAACAAAAAAAAACCACCCAGAAATCATATAGAGTATGTTTTCTGGCCATAATGGAATAAAATTAGAAATCAATACCAAAGGAAATTTGGAAAATACATCCAAGTTAAGCAACATACTCTCAAATGACCTACGGGTCAAAGAAAAAAGTCACAGGAAAACTACAAAGTAATCAGAGATGAGTGGAAATGAAAACAAGAAACATCAAAAGTTGTGCAACGACCTAAATCAGTATTCACAAGGACATTTTCAGCTGTAAACACCTACATTAAAAAATAATATTTAGGATTAATAACTCTGCATTTTGATGAGCTAGAAAAGGGAAACAAATTTAAACTCAAAGTGAGTAGAAGGAAGGAAACAACAAAGATGAGGATGGAGATAAATAGAGAATAGAACAAATAAACAGAAACAAACAGTGGGTCATAATTTGATTTGACTGAGGTTCTTATAAAAGGAAAAGGGGAAATAGAGACACAGTGGTGTGTGGCATCTATAAGGCACAAGCTCAGCCTCCTATTCAAGCCAAGAAACCTAAATGAATGACTGAACACATGTGAAAGAAATGGGGTGGGACAGTATTGTCCCCTTCTAAATGGAGGCACCTCCCAACCTAGGCCACCTTCTGCTACAAGGAAGGAAATAATGCAGGTGCTGTCAAACAGGACTTTTAAAACAACGGGCCTGAACTTGAGATCATGGGAGTGCAATTTCTGAAGTACGTGGGAAACAATTTTTTTTGTCTGTTTATTGAGACAGGGCCTCACTATGTAGTTTTTAGACTGGTCTTGAGCTCACTATGTAGGCTACACTGGCCTCGAACTCACAGTGATCCTCCTGCCTCAGCCTCCCAAGTGCAGGGATTACAGGTATGAACCACTACACCTGGCTTAACCTTTTCTTAAAAGAAGCCAAACAAATAATTTTTGAGGATCAAATTCATCCTGTGGGCTCCTGGAATGCAATCTGTTTTCACACAACTTTTTTTGTTTTTGTTTTTTTTTTCTTCCGGCACCAGGAATCAAACTCACGACGTTGTGCTTGCCAGGCAAGCGCTTTACCGCTGAGCTAAATCCCCAGCCTCTCACACAACTTTAATAGTGCTTCACAATCCTCCCCACAGAGCAGGTCCTGTTCACCTCTTAGCACCCACCCACAGGGCTCTCCCATCTCAGGGCTGTCTAGGCCCATGTATAAAACATACACACCTCAGCCCACAGCACAAATCATTTCCTGCTGCTGGACCCATGACCTCCACTCTAAGGACTTTCTAGTTGACGTTCCTGGCTTCCAGCCCTCCTGCAGGAAGGATCCTCTGTTCAGGTGCTGAAGCCCTTGCTTGGACCTCTATGGGGTGAGGCTCATCTCCCCTCCTATACTTACTTACCCTCTTCAAATGCCCCCCTAACAGACACCAAGCCTCACGGTCCATTTCAACTGAGCTTTTAAAAATATTTGTGTGCAGAATGCAAAATCCTTTTGGACTTGACTCACAATACAGAGCAGTAGTTTAACTTTTTCCCCATTTCCTGACTTTTTGAAAGCAACTAAAAGTCAACTACATAAAACTTCAATTAGCATCACTTTCCCACAAAGAGAAACAATAGCTCCTGTGTTATGCAGGCTTTTAGGTAAGATGGACTGGCCTACCCTTTGTTTTTCTTTGTTTTTTTACAGAGCTGGTGTTTTCAATATTTGCTTGGCCTAGGGCAGGCTCTTCTATCTGTTCTTCCACGTTCAAGGTGGAAATGGTCAGAACAATTTCATCTCTTCCTCCATCTCCAGGCCACGCTTCCACGAGAAAGAACTGCCTTTCTGCTCTTTGAGCTCCTCCTTGTTCAGCCGCGGGCTGGTCCTTCTCCTGACCTTTCTCAAACTGAAAAACAAAGACGAACATTCAAGCAGACACAACAGTATTAATTACAATGTGATTAAACTCTTTGCTTTGAACGTTAGAATGCATAAATAAAAGCCAAGATTAAAGATCATGTATTGCAATCAAAACGCTTAAGCCGTAATTACTTAGGGTTTTGGTGGTGAAACTTAACTTTTTAAATAAACATGATGCACTTAAGAGTATTCACGTTAGCAAAGCTTTTCAAACTCTTTTAAACAAACAAAAAAAAAATCTCAGGATTTTCCTGGGGGGGGGGGTTTCTTTTTACAGTGTTTAATTTCAAGTTGCAAAACTTGAAATTAAATTATTATATTGCACAAAGGCAGAGTTTTAAAAAATTTTATTTTGTATGTGTGTGTGTGTGTGCGCGCGCGCGCGTGCGTGTAAGGGGCGGGTGATTCCAACCAGCTGTACCTTGGTCAATCCTGAGCTTTCAGGCAGGCTCCCTACTGGCTGAAGGTCTTCCCTGACCACCGCCAGGCTCTCCTCCAGCAGGTGGAACTGCACCCGCTCCAGCTCCTGCAGCGGGGATAGCTCCTCCTGGACACTGAGGGCCACGCACTGGGGCGCACCCTGCTGGGGCCCCTCCTCCAGCCACAGCAGCGAGGGCAGCCCGCCCTCAGCCTCCTGCATCTCCTGCACGTGCTCTGCGTCCAGCCAGCCTGTGCTCAGCAGCTCCAGGTCTCCCGAAGCCAACTGCACGGCCTGCAGGGTGAAGATGTGCTCGTGCCCCTCGGCGGGGGTCTCCACCAGCTCCAGCCTCTGTTCCAGAGGCAGGGCCTGCAGCGGCTCGTGGCTGTCTGCGGGCCCAGGCTCACCAGCGCTCTGCAGGTCATGCACTCTCGGGACCCTGTCCACCTCCTCCAGCCCCTTCTCCGGTATCACCGTCAGCTCTTTGATTCTTGTGAACTGCTCAGAGAGGGCGGAGAGCTCGGGGGCCGCCATGGTGAAGTGGCCTGAAGGAGAGAGAAGCGTGCAGTCTTGCGGGGCTCGGAGGGGCAGGCGGCTGCCGGGCTTCAGGGGTCGCCCACGCTGGGACAAGGCTCTGGCCTCGAAAGGCTCCGGGCCCTAATGGGTCAGACTGCAAGGCCCGGCCTCCGCTGTGCGCGCTGAGGCTGCAGCCGGCCGCTGCCCAAGAGTCTACAAGGCACAGCACCGGCCCGCGCAGGGTCGGTCCGGGAGCGCGCACACCGCATGCTAGCGGATCTGAGCCTAGTCATTTTTGGGGCCCATGCACACCACGTCTTGGGTGGGTTTCCACAGTGCACGAGTCTAGGTCTAGCACCGTGAAAGCAGGTGCACTCAGGCCTGGGGCCCTGCAGCGCACCCCCACGGGACCCTGCTGAGGCCCTCCGCGCGCTTTTGCTCCGCCGCTGCCGCTTCCCCCTTCCCAGGCTGTTCCCCCTTCTGCCCACGCGCAGGAATAGCCTGAGCAGGTGGGGAAATATTGAGTCCACCCCCCGGGTTCCCTCACCGTGGGAGGCGAGACCTTGCACCCACCCACGCCTCCCGCGTGGGCTCTGCCTCCACACGCCGGGCAGCAGCCTCTGCGGCTCCCGCCGCAAGGGTGAGCACAGTGCGCAGGCGCAGGGCGAGAAATAGGGCGGGGCTGGGAGAGGAGGCGGGAAAGTGGGGGTGGGGAGAGAGTGGGGGTTGGGGGAGGAGTGGGGGTTGGGGGAGAGAGTGGGAGTTGGGGGAAGAGAATGGGGGTTGGGGAGGACAGTGGGGGTTAGGGGGAGAGTGGAAGTGGGAGAAAGGAAAAGTAGAGGGATGTGGAAGGGGAGGTGAAGAAGGGTCCTGGAGGGGAAACAGAGTCCTGGAGAGATGATGGGAAGAGAAGTGGAGGTATCCTGTAGGGGGCACTGAGTCCTGAAGGGCGATGATGGATGGGGAGAGGGGAGGGCCTTGTAGGGGGCGCTGAGAATCTTGGAGGCCTGATTGGCAGGGAGGGGGTACAGGGCCCTGTAGGGGGCGCTGAGAATCCTGAGGGCGTGATTGACAGGGAGGTGGTAGAGAGGTCCTGTAGGGGGTACTGAGAATCCTGAGGGCGTGATTGACAGGGAGGTGGTAGAGAGGTCCTGTAGGGGGTGCTGAGAATCCTGAGGGCATGATTGACAGGGAGGGGGTGGAGGGGTCCTGTAGGGGGCGCTGAGAATCCTGGGCGACATGATTGACAGGGAGGGGCTGGAGGGGTCCTGTAGGGGGCGCTGAGAATTGTGGGGAACCATGATGGACAGAGAGGAGAGGGCCCCTGTAGGGGGCACTGAATGGTGGGGTGATCTACAGGCAGGGGAGTGCAGGGGCCCTACGGGGGGCGCTGAGAGTCAAGGCAGCTGAATGAAGACCAGAAGTGGGCATGGTGGGTGGCTAAGGGATCCGGGAGACAGGTGGCATGCAGGGCCATGACGTAAGCAGGGAGGTCGGCTGAAGGAGGACCTCCCCTCAGAACCCTGAGGGGAGCTGGCTGGGGGCTGGGGGATGCAGACCCATGGGGACACGTGGGGTGGAGGTGGGAAATGGAAGTCCATGGGAAGCTGGGGGCTGTGTTGGGCATTCATCCGGGTGAAGCCAGTGGTTGGTTGGGTGCTTGCCCAACTTGCCCAAAGCCCTGAGTTCCATCCCCAACACAAAAAATAGTGCATTTTATGTGTACTTCCCCTCAGTAAAGGGAAATTAATCATTTTGGTGGTCTCCAGAAAAATCCCCAACTAGATTAAAAAAAAAAAAACTACAAGTTTGGATCGAGCCAATGAATAAAATAATTTGCAGTTCACTGAGTTTTTTGAAAGTGTGGCTTATAACATTCTAAATTTGTGACATTTCAAAAATTTAATGGAATTTTTGTTTGCTGATTGTAAGTAGATGTATTTGCTGGGTGAAAGAACAACTCAAAAGGAAAGAGCAGAGTTTCCGGGAAGAGACTTCCCAAAGCCTGAGCAGCGAGTGACCTCCGTTAAGAAATGACTACTTGACCGTCCTTTAGCAAAAGCTATCTTCCAACAACCAGGGACAGACATGTCCTTGCCCACCCCGTCTGCAGCCATGGTACGTTCTGTACCCATGAAAGTACTTTCTGTATCTTAGCCCATTCTCCAGTGCCCTTCTCAGAGTTCTTGGTATCTTACTTGTTCATGGTACATACTCAAATATTTTTTCATTTTCAATCGTACAAAGGCAAGAATTCAGTTTTCAAAGAAACTCAATTACCATCCGCAATGCGTGTGTGTTAGATTCTTGGATGACTAGTTTTAATACCATGTCTGGGGTTCCTGTTACAGTATATGTGCTATACAGAAAAGATAAATATTTGAAGGTCAGTGGGAAAGGGGTGTTACAATAATTTCTCTTAAATGATTTAGATGAGTTTTTCTGCTTGAGCAGTCACCCCCTATTTAGTGCTTTTTGGGGTAATTTTGCCTTATTGCTGTAACACTCATGCAGCTAAAAAGTTTTTTTTTCAGTATTTATATTATAGATTCATTTTGGAAGTTTTAAAAACTCATCTAAAATACATTTTTATGAAAAGAGATCTAAGGCCACTGGGAGGAGGAACACGGAAAGGGGAAACAGACTTGGAAAGGAAAAGAGGATTTAGGTGAAGCAGGGAGCTGGCGGAGGGAGGAGCGAAGAGTCAGAGAAGGGTGTGGAAGGAAGAGAAGGAGCAGGCAGACAAATCTGGAGTGTCCGGAACTGGAGGGCCCCTCCCTAGGCCTCCTGTGATGGGGGTAAGATATCTGGGGGGAGGCCGGCACCTCAACAAGGAGATACTGGACTTCCTGCTAACAGTCTGCCGAGAGCAGGAGGCTGTTTAGGAAACTAAGAGATGACACCTTATGTGTGCCCCAAGCATGGCATATTTTTTTTGTTTTGTTTTGTTTTTTAATCTTTTTGAGACAGGGTCTTGCTATGCAGCTCAGGCTGGTCTTGAATTCACTTTATAGCCCAGGCTGGTCTCGAACTCTCAACAATCCTCCTGCCTCAGCCTCCCAACTGCTGGGATTACAGGCGTGCACTACCATGCTCTGCTCTTGGAGCATTTTTTACCAGTTAAACTTTCCATCTCTGGTGCTTAGGGTTGGAGGCAAATGACAAAGCAAGATTCGGGTATCTAGTCCATGAAGAAGAGGACCATGAACCCACAGGCCCATGCCCTCGTGCCAAGGTCTAAATCATCGGACTGAAGCCAGCTCCTCTTTGGCCTACCCAGGGCTCCTTTTCAACTGTGTCTCCTTTCATGCTGTGTCCCATCCCGGCCCATCTCCAGGACCCTCGCAGTAACTTCAGTGGCAGTATACAAGTGATAAATACAAAACCCTTTGGGAAGAAAATGTTATATAGGGCAGTAGTAAATGCAACAGGCTGCTGAGATGTTGCAGTCTTTAAAAAATATTCCTCTCCTGCTCAGTGCTTCCAAAGTAAATGTCAAGAGGCTTACCATTTAATTTTCTCCTGGCCGCCTAACTTGAGTGTAAAATCTTTATGGGCACTCAGTAAGCACTTAAGTACTTGAGCTCATCCCCCAAATGAAAAAGGAATTTAATAATGAAATAATGAGAAAAGGCTGGAATTATCATAAAATATGTACAGGAAGGGGGCTTAGGGCTCAGCATGCTGAGCACCTCATATCAGTTACCTCTCAGATCTTCCAGAAAGTTCTGTGAGAAAGAAATAGATGGCTGAGAAAGTTGTCGAGGTGGAAGGCGCTAGCATTCAGAACATCCTTGTCTTAAATACTGGATACCTTGTTCCATGTTTTTTGTTTAATAACTACATATTAGATGTACTTAGATTTTAATGTATAATTATATTGTAATAGAATAACTGAGATGTGGAAATGATGCACAGATGATATACATGTCTGTCTTTCCCATCTATGTTATGTGTGGCATGTGGGACAAGAAGGTTGTCCGTGGGCAGGGGCCTTTGTCAGTTTTGTGAGGGTGTCCAGTGGCTGGACAGGGCCTTCACAGCTGTGTATGGAACGGCTGAATGTTGGGGCTCGCAGCGCTTAGCCACTGTCTTCTGCTTCACTAGCGTGTCTGAAGAGCGCCTTTTGTAGTGAGGACTTGCGTAAAGTTTTGAGTGGTTGTTCCTGTCCTGCAGTGTTTATGTGAACAGTGTAACGATGGCCCTGATTTCTTCATTTTTGAGAACCTTTTCAGGAGCTTTTGGCTTCATTCAACAGTGGTTCATTGACACCAGTAGATATTTATAGTCAAGCTGATATTTACGTTGTCGTCCAGAAATGAGGGGCTCGGAAGACCTTTCTGAACTGTAGCCTGGCACCCAGCGCTTCCAGCTTTGATGCGGTGTGTGTCATTTCCCAAGATGTGTGATGGGCATGCTTTAAGGTGAAGAGCGCTTAGCACACACCAGGCCAGGAGGTCAAGCTCCAAACTTAGTGTGGTTTTAGAGGAATAAGAACTGCGGACCTGATTGCTTTGTTGTCCTGTGTCGGAATTGGAGATTAGATGCATGTTTTTATTCTGCATAGTTTCTGTACTTATTTATTATTATTCTGAGGCCTGATTGCAACTGGCATGTAACCTATTATTGAATCCACTCTTACCTGGAAAGTTTAGCCCCTCTAAGTATTAAGAGGATAATTTGTACCGGAAAAAGTAAACATAGAGTGTGGATCACTTTTTCTCTAAAAAATCCTGTGGTCGCTATGACTTCAGCGACTGGGTGGCACAGTGCGCATTTTAGAACATGTCTGTCAGTCGACCTGCTGGGCAAACACTGCTTCCGGGCAGATCGTTACACTTTGAACTTTGCCGCCAACACGGAGAGACTGTACTCTGATTTAGCGAGCAGTTCAGCACTGTTCTTGGACTTGGCTGGGGAGTGAGGAATTTTGTGACAAATGAGACAGGAGAGGTTTCTGAAAACTGGAAAATTTTTTTGGGGAAGACACAGGTCACAAGAATGTTATTTACAAGAGCTACTGGGTATTCTGGGCCTCTCCAGGACTTTGTCATTGTGACCTCAACTTTGTCCTGCTTATATATGAAAGAAGCATTTTGTAAGCAAATACACAATGCAGTCTGGAAAATAATTTCTAGAAAAAGTCTGAAAAGGTGGTCTTCAAGCTCTGGTTAGTAATTAGATCGTGGTTAGATCTGGTTAGTGGTTAGATCGTGAGCTGCTAAAGGGGCCAAGGAACCTTTTTCTCATTTGCAGAACTTCTTCAAGTAGAAGCCAGAAATGGTGTTGGGGGCAGGGGAAGAGTCTTGAGGAGGGAGGATTATCCTGCATTATCCGGGTGTCATCAAAGCACCTGTAAGAGGGAGACGGGAGGGTCAGAATCAGAGGAGTGACCAAGGGAGCAGAGAGACTGAGATTCAGAGAGCATGTGTTTCTGGCTTTGAAGATGGAGAAAGAGACCAAAATCAAGGAAAGGGGGCGCCTCTAGAAGCCAGAAAAGGCAAAGAAACGGGCTGTGCTCTTGACCTTTCAGAAGGGATGATCTGTCGTACACTTCTGAACTTCAGAACTGTGAGAGAGGAAATGTGCATTGCTTGAAGTTCTCCTGTTTGGGGTCTTTGTAACAG